ACCCCCCCCCTCACTATTTACTGTCAACTCCCTTCCCAAACTGGACCCAACTGGGCCAAACTGGGCTCTCACCGCCCTTCCCTGTGCCTATAAAAGTGGGGGGGGGACACCAACCTGTCCCTCCCTGCTGGCACCCTCTGTGTGTGTGTCCGTGTGTCCGTCCGTGTGTCTGTCCCCCCCCCGGACACCCCCACCATGCTTTTCTGGCATGGTCAACCTGACCATTACTGGTCCAGTCCTGGGGAGATGTACCCCATCTCCGGCCCTGGGCTGCTCAGGTACCCCCCCCCCCAAAAAAATCCTACAGCATCCCTTGCTTTTAGGGAAACTGAGGCACAGCTGAGTACCCACCCGCCTTGGGGGGGGTGTGTTTCCTGCAGGGACCCCCCCGTGCTGCCCTACTTGAAGCAGGAGGAACCCAACGGCATCTCCACCTCGCAGCCCCCCTGCCCGGCTTTCCAGTACGTGCTCTGCGCCCCCACTTCTCCCGCTGTCCGGCACCACGAGGAGACCCTCACCTACCTCAACCAGGGTGAGCTGGGGGGGGGCTCTGGGGGCACGTTGGGGGGGGGTGGGACCCTCTCTCTGGGGACTCAAGCACCCACTTTTGAGGGGTGTGTTCCCCCCCCCCCCAGGGCAGTCGTATGAGATCCGCATGATGGGGAACCCCCGGGTGGACCCCAGCGGGGAGGGACGGAGGATGCTCAAGGTGAGACGGTGGTGGGGACCCCCCCAAAAACCTGGGGTGATGCTTTGGGGCACACCCTGGGGCAAAGCTCTGACCTTAATCCTCAGCTCAGCCCCAGTCCAACCCCAGTTCAGCCCCAGTTTAGCCTCAGCTCAGCCCCAGCTCAGCCCGGGTTCAGCCCTGGTCCAGCCTCAGCTCAGCCCCAGTTCAGCCCCAGCTCAGCCCCAGTTCAGCCCCGGTCCAGCCCCATCTCTCCACGGGGCGAGAGGCCGTGGCCGTGGGCTCAGCCCGCAGCCGTGGCTGGTGGCGTGGGCCTGATCCTGCGGCACAGAGCGTGGTGCGGGTGGTCTTCCACGACCGGCGGCTGCAGTACTCGGAGCAGCAGCAGCTGGAGGGCTGGCGGTGGAGCCGACCCGGCGATCGCATCCTTGACATCGGTGAGTGCCAGCGGCAGACGGGGGGATTTGGGGGGGCGGCTGGGGGGCCGTGCTCATCCCCCCTCCCGCAGACATCCCGCTCTCCGTCGGCATCCTCGAACCCCAAATCCATCCCACGCTGCTCAACACGGTGGAGTTCCTCTGGGACCCCTCGAGACGGACGTCCATCTTCGTGCAGGTGGGAGCCAGGCCTGGCCGAGGGGCTGGAGTGGGGGGGCCGGGGGGGGCCACGGCGGCCGCCCCCGACCCCGCTGTCCCCGGCCAGGTTCACTGCATCAGCACTGAGTTCACGCTGCGGAAGAACGGGGGGGAGAAAGGCGTCCCCTTCCGCATCCAGATCGACACCTTCGGGGCGGGGGGCAAGGGGGACCCCCCGGAGCACCTCCACTCCGCCAGCTGCCTCATCAAGGTGTTCAAGGTATCAAGGGGGGGGCACCAGTGACCCCCAGGTGACCAGCGCTCTGGGGGGCTGGATGCACCAGGGTCCGGGTGCACAGGAGTGTGGGTGTATGGGGCTTGGAGCACCCCAGGGGTCTGGGTGCCTCAAGGGATCTGGGTGCACGGGGGGGGGGGTCAGGGGTCCCCACTGGCCGCCGTGGCGGTGGTCCCGGGGCTGCACTCACGGCCCCCGGCACAGCCCAAGGGGGCCGACAGAAAGCAGAAGACGGACCGGGAGAAGGTGGAGAAGCAGCCGGCACTGGAGCGGGAGAAATTCCAGCCAGCCTACGAGAACACCGTGCTGGCCGAGGTGGGACTCGGCCCTGGCACCCCTCCCTGTGGGTCGGGGTGCCCCCCCCGGGACCCTGTACCCCCTGACGCCCCTCCCTCCATCCTCAGTGTGCGCCATGGCCGGACACGCTGGGTGCACCCCACAGCCCCCCAGGGACCCCGGGGCTGCCGTCTCCTCACTCCTTCAAGCTGCTGAGCCCTGAGAGGTAAGCGGGGGGGCCCCCTGGACCCCCAACCCACCGCCAGGGTCCCCTGCTCAGCCCCGGCCCCGCTCCCCGCAGGGTGTGCGCGTCGCCCACCTGCGCTGCCGAGAGCCCCGCGGAGAGTCCTGGTGAGGTGAGGGTGCCGTCTGGCCCCCCCCAGGAGAGCCTGGCTGGGCTGAGAACTTGCCCGCTCGGTTCATGCCCTGGCTGAGGCTCCAATCCTGCTGCCGGCAGGCGCTGAGCCCCTGCGCATCCCCCCTGGAGACGCAGCAGTGGCTGCACAAGTGCCGCTTCTCTGCCTATGCCCGGACCTTTGCCAACTTTGCAGGTGAGGCCACAGGCAGTGCCGGGCTGGGCTGGGGGGGGGGGGCAGAGCCAGAGCACCCCCTGAGCTCCCCTGTCTGCAGGCGCCGACCTGCTGAAGCTCTCCCGCAGGGACCTGATCCAGATCTGCGGAGCCCCCGACGGCATCCGCCTCTGCAACGCGCTGACGGGCAGGTGGGTTCGCACATCCCGCTGGGATCATCGGTCCCTCTTTCCGGGGACCCCCAGGAGCCTCCGTGGTCCTTGGCCGGATCCTGCGTCCCCCACCAGACCCCTCTTTGCCTCCACAGGTGCCCGCGGCCCCGGTTGACCCTCTATGTGTCGCGGGAGCCCACCGGTGGGGCTGAGGGTGCGGAGGACGGATGCTCAGGTACGTGGCTCGGCGCGGGGCAGTATTGGGGTGGAGGGTCCGTGCTCACTGCCCCGTCCCCGAACTGTCCCCAGGGCTGTACCAGGAGGTGCAGCTGGAAGAGCTGACGGCAGCCGAGCTAACCGGGAAGCTGGCTGAGCTGCTGGGGCTGCCCGCAGGCCAGATCCTGCGGGTGTCCCGGCAGGGACCCTCTGGCATCCACATCCTCGTCAGCGATGCGGTAAGGACCAGGGGGGACACATCTGGGCAGTGCCAGACCCTGCAGCCATCCTGGTCCCTTGGGGTCTCCAACCTGCTCCCAGCAAGATGCAACCCCCACGGGTGCCCCTCGCTGCAGCGGGATGGGGGTCTGGGCTCCGGGACGGGACATTCAGCCCCAACCCAGACCCCCTCACCTCGTGTCGTGGCCCCGCAGATGATCAGGAACCTCCTGGACGAGACCTGCTTCGTGGTGGCCGTTGGCAAAGGTAACGTGGTGGCCAGGGGCTGCGGGTAGGGGTCGACGGCCCCGGCTGAGCCGTGTCTCTGGGCAGCGCATGGCCCCGAGGGGTACCACCTGGTGCTGCGGTAGGAACCGGCCCCTGGAGCTGCATCACCCCTGGGAAGGGACATCTCCCACCGGTGCCGGAGCGAGACATGCGGGGATGGAGAGAGGAGCCCGAGGCTGGTACCGTCCCCAAGACCCCATCCTCCAAACACCGTTCGCCCTCCCTCTGTCTCTGCCAGGCTCACTCGGCCCCTCACACAGAGGGGCAAGAAGAAGGGGTCCCATCCCCGCTGCCAGCTCGTCTCCATCCCTTTCTCCCTGCGCTGACAGCAGCTGCATCCCCACACCCGCCGTGTTGCCTTCACCTCATCCCCATTTTGTATTAAAGGACGGAGGGAGCCAGCCCAGAGCGTGGCCTCATCCCTGCGACGCTTGCTGGGGTTTGGGCAAGGGGTCCCCGGGGTCCTGCAGGGATGGAGCCCGCCATGGCACGGAGCCCAGGGCAGCCCCAGCTGGCAAAACCCAGTAAAGCCTCATTTCTGCGTTTTGGCTCAGGGAACGGGTTATTTTTAACACCAAGTCCTTCCCCCAAGCACAGTCCAGCGCAGCTGCTACTGGCACGGAGGGCAGAACCAGGCAGTGAAGCGAGACAGGGGACGCCTTTGGGAGGAAACGACTCGTGGGGCAAAGGACAGGTTTGGGATAAACAAGGGTTTGGGATAAACAAGCCGGCGGGAAGTTTCCCCAGAGAGGAAGGACAGAGACCGAGAGGAGCCAGAGGATGCGGGTGAGAAGCTGGGAGGGCACTGGGACATCCCCTGGACCAACTCCGAGATCAGAGTGCTGGCGAACACAGAGAAGGGACAGCGGTGAGCACGGGGGCAAGGGCAGACACGGGACCGTGGACCACGACCCTCCCCAAAACACTCACCGCCGGAGCTTGGTCCCACGAGCCCTTTCCCGACTGTCCTCTCCACCGCCAGACCCTCGCCGCCCCACAGAGATCACATACAGCATTATCACACAGACAAGGGACAACTTGGCTACATATATATATATATATATATATTTACTTTTAGTTAATGGCATTATTATATCCACACAGTGTCAAGGAAAGCACAGATTACAATATCATTAAAATAATATTTTACAGATCTCTCTATAATATATATATATAATCAAGGGAGCATATGACAAGGTTCCAGCTCATGTGTCCAGTACATCAGACTGAACAGACATTGCGAGCCCACCCGAGTTTAAAAATGCATTAAAAAATACAGAGGAGGCCAGCCCTGTCCCCCAGCACGGGGGTCTACGGGCACAGCAGCCCCTGTGCTGACCCACGGGTCCTGCACCGGCTGGGCTGAGCTGGAGGACGAGAACAGTGAACACTCGGCGTTTGCATAGAGGAGGGGGAATAATCCCATTTTAGCAGACACTGAGTTAACAGCTGGGGCCTGTGGGGAAAGCCACAGTGAGCTCAGATGCACCTTTAGGGATGGAGGAAGGTTCGTGGCCGCAGCATGAAGAACCCCGGGGAAAGGCAGGGTGCTGGGGGGTGCGGGATTGCGGGCAGAGGTGGCATTTCCACGGCCCCCCCCGGCAGCCTGGGTGCCCTCCCAAGGCAGGGCAGGGGCTGGTGCAGCCTGGCCAGCCCCACGGTCTCACTGACTGGTGAGAGCAGGAGATGGATTTCTTCATCTCTTAAAAAAACCAAACCAAAACAAAAAAAACCCAACAAAAAAAAAAAAACCACCCCAAACCAACACAAAAACCCCAAACCTCCACGCAAGAAAAGCTGCCAGCACAGAGAGCACGTACCGCCGGCTGCAGCAAAGGGCAGCGAAGCCCAGCACCGCCAGCTCTACCGAGCCGCCCGTCTCACCGCGACAGCCGTAGCCGCAGGACGGGTGGCCAGGGAACGTGGGGACCAGACGAGGTGTCACCGGTGACGGGATCCCGTGCCGAGATGTCCCCTCCGTACGAGAGCCCTGGTGACAGCAGCCACCCGGGCTGCGAGCGCTTGGCCAACCGCGCGGGGAGGGTCCCTGGGGGTTCAGCCAAGGAGGGGGGCGAGGGGCCGGGAAGGCACAACAGGCTGCCTGAGCAGGGACTGAAGCTGTTGAATGAAAAGAGGAAAGCGGCTTCTCCCCCATGCGCTGGGTTTTTTTTTTGGTCCCACGCAACTCCCTCAGCTGCAGCACAGGGACCTCGGCGCCTGCGAGGGGAGCTGGGTGCCTCTGCCAGGCTTCAGCATGGAGAGAACAAAAACCTTGGCCAACTTGCTTGGATGCCAGAAAACAAAGCAAATCAGACCCCCCCCCCCCAAACCAACCCCCAAACCATGCAATCCTTCATCAGAAGAGGCCAAAACGTTTTAAACCTCATTTTCAGGGCACACCCCCCCACAGGACACTGTAGCGAAGAACCTTGTCATACTGATCTCCCATCCACCCCCACCAAAAAAAAAAAAAAAAAAAAAAAAAGGAAAAAAACCAAACCCAAAAACCATGACACCATGGGCCAGCCATGAACAACACAGAGTAAAATAAAAAAAAAAATTACAATGATGCTTAGAAAATAGGAATTTGTTAAAGTTTTTGTTTTAAATAACCACTGTGACAGCACATTACACTTGCCACCTCCTCATCCTCTTCGGGAGCAGTCACAGAATTCAGATAAAAAGTGCTGCTGTGTGTCTCGAAAGACCAGAAAAGCCTAATTTTTGGTTGCATCAGCTCTCCTCACACCACCTCCCTGGAGGATCTTGCCAGCGCTAGTCCAGAAGGTCTCACGCTACTTCCCTAGAGAGGTCCCCTCTGCTCGCCAAGTCCAAGAGCAGGTCGAGGCCAGGGCAGCTCCAACTGGGCTGCGCGACGTGGACAGGGTAAGGTGCCGAAAAGCAGATCCAGGTTACAGCAAAACACCGCTTTTTGAGGTGGCAACGCACCGTCCGGCCTCTGCTCTACGACTGCGGGACACAGCTTCTACAGAGGCATCTTGGGGTTCTGGGGTGCACGCCGGTTTGCAAGGAAGGACAAGGAAAGGGCCAATGTAGAGCCAACAGCTCAGGGTCTCAAACGGAGGACCTGGTTTGCCTGGGTCCAGCTAGTCTAGTGCAGAGGCTGGAAAAGAGGCATTTGGCACAAGTAGGGAGCTTTCAAATTGATTTGATTTTCAGTCAGGGCTTGCTCCTCGCTGAACCTTTCAGTAGAGCCACCGTTTTACATCGCTTACCCCTCAAAACGACAGTAGAGAGACATTCCTCTAAAAGATGGGCCCTGAATCTCAGTGCTCCATGCCCTCCGCAGCCACCAGCTCAAACCCAGTGCCAGTGCTCGACCCAGCACCTAGCACTCCTCCAGCCCAGCAGAAACAAGGGTGCAGGCATGCGGAGCAGAAACAGCATTCCCAAACACAGCCCATGGCCGGTATGCCGCCACGTGCAGGAGGTTTTGGTTTTTTGCTCTACAAAGGTATTCCTCCAGTAAGACACAGCTTGGAAAATGGTGTTTATTGGTATTTATAAATACAAACATAAGGAAGAGTCCATTTGAAGACGGATAATTGACTTAAAAGGACACTGTCAAGTAGTTTGAGCTACCTTAATGCTGTCACCCTGTTTGGAAAAAAAAAAAAATGCTTTGGGTTCTGTATTCTTGAGTTTTCCCTTGAAAACTCATGCTCTGTTACAAAGAAATCAGTCAGCCAACTACACCCTGGCTTGCAAATCCATTTTAGCTCTCCCCTGCCACAGTATAAACTAAACAAAGTGTTCTTCCCAGAGTTGTGCAAATACTGTGATTGCTGGGTGCTGCCCCAGGCACACCCGCCCGTTCGGAGTCAGTCTGTTACCATGGGAAGCACCATTATCTTCTGCCACCCTGAAAATCGGAGAAAGGAGTTCTGCAAATGAAGTATAGGAACATGCTCGTTGAGGAGAGAGTCCACAGCGCTAAAGAGGATTTGAATAAATATAACAGATTAAAAGCGATCTACAGGAAAGGAATTGACAGTATCCTTTTAAACACAGCATACTGGATTTCCTCCCAGCAGACTGTGCATCTGCAAGACTTCATTAAGCATATACAGATGGGTGGGGGAAATTTAAGTTCTAGATGAAGGGGATACAGCTTCGGTGGTACTAAGCGACCCTTCTGACTGCCTGAACAGCTCAGACAGCGGTAAGAAGGTGGGAAGCAACACACTGCCCTCAAAGCAAACCCCCAGTGAAAAACCAAGCCCCCAGGACCCTAAAACAGCCACTCCTCGTGCTGCACCCTGCTCTTCCCCCACCGCAAGATTCTTCAGCATAGAGGTGAAGCACCACTTCCTTGGCTGCTGGCAGCTAGGATGATTAAACAGACCTGCTCCTCTCTGTCTCAGTCAGCTGGGAACCATCCATAAACATGTGTGCTCCCTTCCATCCCAGGGTGCAGACAGCAGGAAGAGCGCAATTACTTACACGTCAGCTCGTCTTCCACAAACCTGTTAGAGTTTTTGACCAAGTTCTGCCCCATTAAACCCTTGGCGTCTGCCCATCTGTTCACATGTTTCACACTGGGCATCTGGAACTGCCAGCATCAAGGAATTGGGAGTTCACAGAGCTGGCCCGGGCTGTCTACGCTCCTCTGAAGCACCTGGGCTAATCTTGCCTGGAATGCCTCAACACCAGCTGCTATGAACACATACCCTGACAGCTGGGAAGGACTGACACATAGCAAACCCCCATTTCATTCAGATGGTTCCTTCTCCAGGGCAAGACACTTACCTGTGGAAGATCAAAAGTCAGCAAAATCACCCAGCGCTCACACCCACACCTCAGCGTACAAAAACGTGACAATAATTGAGGGCGTATTTTCAGGCCTGCTGTTTCTCCCGCTTCCATTAGCGAGTGATTATTTCTTGATCAGGGCAACAAGCAAAAAGATTCTACTTTGCTTTTCCTTGGGGGCAGGATGAAGGGTCGGAGGGACAGGACAGGAGGAGTAGGGAACTTACAGTCACTAGAACAGAGACTATAACTTTTTCCCTCTATCAAGAGTTATATTCTTGTCACTGGGATAAAACCTGAAATGCAAAACAAATTCGGACACCCAACCACTGATAAAAACAGGCCAAGAAGCCTACAAGAGCCTAGCCTGTAGCGCAGCTCACTTGCCATTTAAAAATCTTCCTAACAGGTCATTACAGGCTCAGGCTTCTAATGGTAAAAAGTACTTTTTTAAATTTCAATTACTGATTCGTACTTTTGTTTGGTAAATCTCAAAAAATTACTGAATTAGAAATCTGTAAAAAAAGCAGGATGTAGGGAGGGTAAAAAGAAACCTGAGCCTGACGTTACAGATTTCAAGCTATATCACAACAATCTAGGAAGCCTCTGAGCTGGATGCTACAGAACACAGAAGAAACAGGTGAACCTTCAATGTGAGCATGCTCAGGGTGGTCAGCAGGGAACGGGAAGTAGAGAAGCACGAGTAAATCATGTCTCACAACAGCTGCTGTTTCATTCCCTCACTGAAAAATGGACACAAAACTTGTTGGGATTTTCAGGTTTGTTTGGTTTTTTTTTTTTTTTTCCTTCTGGACAACGGATGCAGGGTTAAAGCATGTTCCTTTCCTCTCCCCCTCTCCCCATTTCAACACGTTTCAGTTACTATTCCAACCTCAACAGCAGCAACAGTCATTCTGGGTTCACAAAAACCTCCCCTCCTTACCGCAAAGATTTCATCTGAGCATGCCCAGTAGGAATGGTTCAGAATTATACCAATCCACCTACAGAAAAAGCCAACACAGCTCCAGCTCCCATACTGCCGAGTTCATCAGTTTGCTGGAACAGGTGGGGTGTGTATATGTATGTGTATGGGTGGCTACAGGGGCCTGGCGCCACAGCCCTGCTCACTGGCCCTTGCAAATGACACTGGTATCGCTTTCCTTGAAGATACTGGTGTCCACCGTAATTCTACAAGTGTAATTAAATACTCAGTTTGCAAGGATGACCACTTCCAGTGTCATAGGATGATGCAACATCTGCAGAAGCGTTGTCTGCTGCCTCCAACCGAAGGAGGTGGAGTCACAGGCGCGAAGTAGGCATGGACTTTAATATTGGGTAAATGGGTCTGAAAAGACAAACACAACGTGTCAAGTGACAAGTGTAGTTGCAGTGCAAGAGTCAAAGAGAAGTTGAAATAGGCCTGGCTTGCTTGTCTTCAGACTACAAACTAACACAGACATAAAAACTAGAGTCAAACTCTTTCAGTTCACCAGTGTGATTTTCCCACAGACTGTGGATTAGCAAGTTCTTTCTGTGACCAGAAATGAGAGTTAGAGGGAATAGGAAAAATGATGCTCTTTCCTCCCCATTAATCCTGTGGTAGCTGTGGGCAACAAAACAACATCTAACTGTACAGATCTGTGTTCTCTTTGCAAATAAAATGTTATCATTACTTCTCTTTCACAGATGGAGAAATAAACTCAGGAGGGAATCACTGGGACACAGAGTGCCTTAGATGACTGGCAGCTAGTGACAGAGTGGCCCTGGCTCTGTCCCACTCACAAGGCCACGCAGCCTCCCCTACAGCAGACTGACTCTATTACAGGATTAGCCCGAGTTATTTACATGGGAACTGTCAGTATAAAGTGCACTACAATCTACACTGAGCATATAAAGTAGTGGAGAAGAGGTGCCATTCTACACATTTGCTGTGGCACAAACTCTTGGTCCCCCATTTGGGAGAGCACTGTCATGTACGAGTGCCTGTAAAACGAGCACTTGGACACTGGGTCTCCTCTGTTCCCTTCTGCTACTGCTCAGTGGACACAGCAATTATCTCTCTTCCCCACCAGCTAGTGTTCGTCCCTATCCAATCTTCTGAGTGCATGACAGCTATTAAATTCATAGATGATGGTTCTCACAATACTTTTAAGAATGAGCACCAGATCCTGAGGAATCTGAAACCTCAGCCCTCCCTCCTCCCCACCAGATAAAGTGCTCAAGTCACAGCCTTAGCAGTGTTTTAATTTCCTTTTTTTACCCTGAGTCTCTTGATCCCTGCCCGTGTGATTTGCTGACAGTCGTACAGTTCTATCCTCTCCAAGCTGTGGCAGCTTTTCAGGTGCTCCAGGGAGGCATCCGTGATCAAAGGGCAGTTGTCCAGCTCGATCACCTCCAAGCGGTCGTGTGCGCAGGCGCCGTTTCCCAAGTGACGAATCCCATCGTCCGTGATCAGCTCACAGTGGGACAAACTCTGCATCCAAACACAGCAAGTTAGCAGCCTCTGCCATTGGCAAACAGAAGCCAACACCCTGCCGGGGGACACGGTGGGACAGGAAAGAAGATGGCCCACATCTCATAGGTTTGGACTGGTTTGCCATACTGGCTTTTTGGACAGGTCTATACTCCCTCCTTGCACTGGAGCCACTGCTGCACTCCAGACCCCAGGCGCTGGGCTCTGGGGGCCTCCAATGATTAACGTGCCTGCAAAAGGAAAACTCATAGCTGAAGCGCAATGGGAAAGGCAGCTGCTGAAAGATGAGACCCACAGGGCCAGAAGACAGGACGGCACAGAAACAGAATAAATACCTCTGCTATTGAAGAAACAGCCTTTGTAAAATCCGTGGCCTTACACATCATGGGAAGGACCCTGTCACTGCGTTTAAGAACCAGCAGAAATAAAACGTCACCTACTTGGTGCATTTTTTAGGGGTGGGAGGGGCTGCATCTTAGGAGTTCTTGAGAAGGAAGCAGGGCTTGAGCTAGGAGATAGCATCAGCCTGTTTCTCTGTTGAGGGACACACTGTGTGGAAGGGATGGCTGCACAGGAGAACCCACTCACTGCATCCCCCCACCTCCCAGGACAGGTTTTCTCATGATGGCAACGGAGCAGCACACGCAGGGACGCAGAGGAGACAGACTAAATTCCCAGAAATTTAGACCAAGAGGAACATTGCTTTCCAGAGCAAGCAAGCTTTCCAGGTCTCAGTTGCCCAGCTCCACACTACCAGTGAGAAGGGCTGCAGTCTTCACTCCTACATATGGACTGACAGCCCAGTTTGTAGACAAGACTCTGCTAGGCTTGCTGAGGACAGCTAGAGGCTGGTACCAGGAGAATCCAGTGTCCTATAATTCATTTTCAGGCAGCTGTGGGTGCCTGCCGTATGATTAATGCTAGCAGTAGGGGAGGGACAATAGGTTCTTCAGGGTCAAGTTTCTAGTCGAATTCTTCCAAGCCTTCACAACATGTCTATGAAGTCAAAGAGACAAATCCCCACAGGCAGTGCTTAAAATCCCTTTGTTTATAGAAAGAAAATGCTGAAAGTCTCACTTATAATACTCACCAGAACCTGAAGCCGTGGACAGTGTATGGAAAGCTGGATTAGTGTACTGTCTGTTATCTGGAAAAAAGAAAAAGCCCTTTCATGCTGGGTGCTTTGCTCAAGGACTTTCCCCCCCCGCAACGAAAGAAAAACTGCAAACTGTCGCCTAATCCACAACAGTGTTCCCCACAGTCACTCTCCTGAGCCCCTCAGGAACTCATCTCCTGCATGACCAAATTTCAGATGTACAGATTCTTCCACTCCCTTACAGAAATCAACTCATGTCCTTAAGGGACTGTTAAGGCAGAGGTATTGCTGTTTTTTTGAACTTCCTTAAGTAGCTCTCATGAAATAAGCTCACAATTAAGAGAAGCAAGTGAGCAGACCTCTTCAACACCACAATGTCTCCTAAATATTTGTGTCTGAAAGTACAAGAGGTGTTCAAATCCCCTTCCAACAGCTTGGTGGATTGCCGAATTGTTCCTCTTTATTCTTCAGGAAGAAAGAGACTCAACACAATGGTTTTCTAATCTAAAAGCATTCAGAAGGGAACTTGCTGGGATGTCTTTGTTCAATGCAGTCAGTCCAAGGACACAGCCCAATTTTTCTTCTTCCTTTTTTGGGTTAACTTTAAATCACTTCCTGTCTGGACTATTTTAATTTCCTCTTGTGATGATCTCAATTTCTGCCCTGTAAACATCAGGAAGTACAGAATACCGGGGTCACACTGTTCTCATGGCAGGAAGCACAATCCTATTATCTCCACTGTCTTTATCTGAATCAATTTCAAATCTATCCTTAGGGTTACAGATTTTTCATGGGATCTTGAGTAAATTCAACTATTTCCCCCTGTAAATGCTACCTTGGAACGGATATCAGCTTATAGCACATACCCTACAGAACAGTGTGTAGTCACATACAAGAGACCTCCTTAAAACTAACAAAGACAGCTGCAGCACAGGGTTGTAAGAGACTCAGCAATAACACATTCGTTATACTACATCCCACTGCCTTTGAGGAAGGCTAATGGTAGCATGGGCACCCCATTTCAGGTTGTTGCCATGTCCTCTATAAAATCACTGCTGTTCAAACAATCTGGCTACGTTTTTTTCAAAACAGATGTAACTTCCATTATTTCTAGCAATATATGTAGCACAAACCTTTCCTTGCCTTATGCATACAAATCTTACTCTGGGACTTTATCTTGTGTCAAGGGTCACAATTCACACATCTACTACATGACCTTCAGGACACACCTATTACTATTAAAGATTTTTTATTATTTACAGCAGCAGTTATTGCTATGAAATATGAACAAACTACAGAAGCAGTATTTTCATATCCAAATACATCTCATCTTCTTGCTCAGGATTCTAAATCAAGCTCTCATTTGGAGACAATCTACTACTTTTTCCCCATCTTTCCACACTGCTGTGACCGTGCTGAAAGAGAAATAGCCAGAGGTGGCACCTCCTACCTGGACGCATTCTTCCAGGTCCATTTTTTCAAGCTCATGGCAGTTCTAGGAACAAACAGAAGACCAAACACACAAACTAAGTGCAAAGGTCAGACAGCAAATATAAACACAAATACAATAAAAGCAGTTCTTTTTAAAAATGAAGGTTTTTCTCCACGAAACATCATAACTGAAAGAAAAGTTTACTGCTGCTTTATGAGCAGCACCAAGTGTAGTAAAGGAAATCTAGCAATTTCACTCATTTAAAGGCACAGAGGTTTTTTTATTCATAGAAAGTAAAGATAGTCAAATTTAGGGTCACTTGTACACAACACAGATTAATCTAGAAAAACAAACAGTAAAGTTTATAACTGCCAAGTATTTAACATTTCATGTAGTTTGGATGCACATCCTCCTAGATGTGTGGGTCAGGACAATGCAAAGATTACATACAACCTAATTTTTGTAAATTAGCTTCCACTCAAACGTCAAGATCAAAAGCATTACAAAAATCTACATTCAAGAGAAAGCTACTGTTTGTTCATATCTATCATGAAAAGAAAGCAAAGATACTTGATGAAAAAGTGGAAATGAACACTTACCCTAGCTAGAGTGGTAAAGCCCACATCTGTTAGTTGAGAACACCTTGCAACTTCTAATATTCTGCACAGAAAGAATTTATAATAACCATGGTGGAGTCATTTTGCTTTTCAGAGTGTTTCATTAAAAGCTTCCAGCAACCCAGAAAAGTTTGACCCGGTTTAGGCTGTGCTCTCTGAGAAGATAATTTGCACAGAGCATCCACCCTCTATACCTGAGTGTAGGTCACAGGGAAAGAAAAAAAGAAGTCAGGCTAAAAGGGAACTCCAAGGGTCATCCAGTCCGTACCCCGCTACAAGGCAGGGAGGTCTAATCTGACAAATGTTGGACTAAGGTGCTCTTAAAAACCTTCATTGCTGGACACTCCACAACCTCCCCGAGTGATCTCCTCTGGATTCCACCCCAAATACAGATCTCATCGTGAAAAAGGGTGTAATACACAACAACCTGGCAGATGAGCATTAGAGAATAAATATTTAATGCCACAACAGAAGAGTTTGAAGTCTTCAAAGAGGCAAACCACTTGCTTCTGTGAAAACAGATAAACTTTCTGGCGGACAGTTACCACGGCTCTACAGAGGTTTCCTTCACACTGTTAACATATTTATCTATCTTTATAGAAAAGGAAGCCAACTTTCTGAAGTGCATTACGCATTTTACTGTATGGAGCTTAATACTGTAAAGCTGCAGCTGAACATAAGCATAGAAACCATTTGGAACCAAAATCATATTTTACCTTCCTCTTTCAAAACTGGTTTCCATACACTTGTATGCTACACTTTGTACCCGTAATTCTTTAAGTGAGATATCATGGAAAACATTTGTGTTTTGTTTTCCCCAGGAAGACATGTATTTTATGCCATTTAATACAGGCCACTCGGCTGTTACAGATGTCAGATAATAAAACTGTCTCTTCTTTCTGCACCTGGCCATTTTCTGAATTATAGCAAAGTCTTCCTGAAGAAATTTGTCCTAATAAAAAAAGTCTTAAAAAAATAATTAAAAAAAACCCCCAAGCACCTGCAGAGATGTCGCTGGAAGCCCACTCTGTCAAGCAGAGTGAAAGTTTGCACAAATTCCACCTGCTACAAAATTGTGAAAAACCTGTTAATATCACATGTCAAGAGGAAACAATGTTTTTTAAATGTGTTTTCAGTTCTCAACACAGAAGTAACTTAACCTCAACTGTTTTTCATAAAAGAACAAAAAGTAGATACACAATGGTGTAAAAGGAGACTGCTACTAAGCGAGTCTATTGGCAGTGCACACCACCACGGCATGGAGCTCTTTTACCACTGTTTTACTCTCACAAGTTTAGAAACCAGAAGTTTGGGTACAATTATGATCATCCCATAGCAAATGCCTGGAAAAAGCCCAATGATAGAAAGTGTCCTTTCAGAAACACCTTCAAACTCTAAATTGTCTCAAATACTACATGACCATGTCACCAAGATCCTTTACTCAACATGCAACAGGTCACTGGAGCTCAGGTAACTCCACAGTGAAAACTTACCTAAGCCTTGGGCAGTTCTGTCCCAGGGCATTCAAGATGGCATCTGTAATGTTAGAGCAGCCTGAAGCACACAAGGATTGTAACTTGTGGCATCCTCTGCATATTGTAATGAGACCATCATCTGTTATTTGCTACAAGAAAAACAATAACAACATCACAAGCCATAACAATGTAGGTGGAGGTGCAAGGCACTGCATATTTTCCTTCTCAGGCTTCCAACCAGGCACTTAACTGAGGCCAAGTTATGCTTCTTTCAACCCAAAAATGCATTCAAGTATTTCACTGGAGCAGCTGAAACAGGATAAGCCACATTGAAGTGACTTGTAAACATTCGGAAAGTGATTCCACATGCACGGAAACGTTTCTGAGCTGGGCCACGTGAGCGATGGGGGAAGGCACTGTAGCAGCAGGCCTAGACTCGGTCTCCTGCCTTCCTTTGCAACCCTCGCTTGTAAAGACCTTCTTGGCTGAAACTCAAGATGAGAAAGCACCCAACAGTCAGAGTTACCCACAAAATAAGCAGCAGGTTGTTTTCACAAACAGCCTTTTAAAAATACACTTCAGTGGTTCGGGACCAAAACCTGAACTGCGAGAGACAGGCTTACAGCCAAAATCACGTTAAATTCACCCCATGGCACAGCAGCTCCATCGACCCGCTGCGTCCCCGGACACGCAGGGTCCGTTCAGCCCTGCGTGCTCTGCTCTGGGATGGCAACAGTGCACAAATCTGCTCCAGATGTTTCCCCACATAAGCAAGAGCACAAGGGGCTGTGACTTGGTGGGGCTGTGCCAAGGAGCCGCACGGGATCAAGAGCAATGCAGGGAGCGGGATAAGGGAAAAAGGGGCAATAGGTGGCAGAGGCTGTGCATGCTAGAGGACCAGGTTAAATCTCACTTAAGTCTTAGGTTCTGGATTTTCAGAGGCAGCCAGACTCAATTCCCACAGAAAAGCACCAACCTAGGGACTGGCATTGCTTCTTTTGAAATAGCAAACAGCAAGTCTGCAGGCTGGTAAGCCCAAGTTCTGGAGTGAGACAAAACTGAGTAGAACTTGGTATTTTCAGTTATAGCGATCAAGAACCTTATTAGTTTTCTCCTCCCTTCTGCTTGTTTGTCTCTCCCCTTCCTGCCTCTCCGCTAGACCCCAGACGCAGGGCTGCAACTTGCTAACAGTTCAGCTCCTCCTTTACAGGCACCTAGTCTCAGATGGATGGGCACCAGTCTCTAGCCAGTCCAGTAACTGGTAAAGCTACTCCTCAAACAGGACTGGGAGAGGACAGCCCTGCAGCCCCGAAAGGCCTTGCCCACTTCCGTGGAAAAGGAAGAGACTGTCCAGTTACTGCATCAGACAAACCGCATGATGGTATGTACAAAGAGCCCATTCCAATTTCTTTTTTGGCATAAATATACATTTCTGGCACTGCAGAATAACTGGTTTACAGCCCTTCTGTGCAGGGAAGCTGCACTTCTTGGTTCAATTTTATAGAGACCAGAGAAACCATCTGGCTAGATCACCACACAAACACTCAGGCCCAATGGAAAGAATTTTTCCAGCTAGTCCTGCAAATGAGTTTAGAAACCCCATGGGCAGGGCAAAGAGACAAACAATTCTGACAAAGTGAATGCTATCACAGTGTTTTGGGGGCTTATTCAACATTACTGAATGCTACCAAAAAGCTGTTTTTCATTAACTATTTTTAAAAGTCTCGTAAATTTACAATTGCCCTGTCTGCCCAGATGATGACGTTTCTGGGATGGAGTACATTCTGCATGGTTCTGCTTAGAGATGGCCTCTAAATGCACAGTGATGGCTGAGTTGGGAAATCATAGGAAGCTTTACTTACTAAGCATGTTTGAAGGTTTAAAGTCACCAGTTCGGGACAATGTGCACCGATGTATTTCAGAGCTTCATCCTCAAGCTGCAAAGAAAAATTTAGAGACTGAAGCAACCTGTTAATACTTGAAGCAATCTTCAAATAAGGCTTTGAGAACAATAAAGCATCTGTGGTTTGTATACCTATGGGGGAGGAGGGCAATACACTGCAGTCTCAAAATACACAGCAATAAGTGCATGCCTTTTTTTTTTTTTTTTTACCATCTCAGGAACAGAGTTCAAAGACCCACAACACTAAGTTACTGATTTGAAGAAAAGCATGATCAAACATGCATAATTAACAAATCAAGTAGTGAAATCAGAAATAACTTACAGGAATTAAGGAAATGCTTCACTAGTGAGGGCCTGTAAGTAACACTATTTTTATATTGCAATACTGGAACTCAGAAAAAAAAGCCTTACTTCAATGTGAGGAGCACAAACATATCCAGGTTGCTTTCTGATGATAAAAAAGCCTCCTATTCTTATATCTATAAGAACAGATGGCCAGTAATTGATAACAAGGATGTATTGCCATCAATATTACTCACAACTTCATAAATTACTAGAAACTCAAGCTGTTTCTATGACCTGGATTCTCAAAATAGGCTGAGATTGTTGTATCTTTAATCAAGTCATTTTTACAGCCATGTATACCCACCTCATCTATTAAAAATCCAACAGTAGTATAAATTTAGAAAAACTACTGACTATAGCCCTTACAGCTGGGCTTTCTTGTGCACACAAGGGTATTATTGCTTTGTGCACATAACCGCTGTATTGTTGCTTTCCTTATCATAATAAGCTTTCAGGACTTCCTGTGTTCGTACACAGGAGAAATATGCTTTTTGCAAAACAAAACTGTATAGCTGTTTATCTACACACAGCAGACAAAAATGGCACTTATTGACTCATACTTAAGGAATCCTTACCTTCAAAAAAAAAAAACCAAACCAAAAAAACCCCCAAAATCCAAACCAAATAAGCGCTGTCATTGTTTGGGTACAAGGATCTAACAGATCAGATCATTTTCCAGGTCTACCTTGAGGTTCTTAAACTCCCGGGAGTCTCTGGGTCACAGGTTTCAACTCCTGTGGGGTCAGTTTTACTCTCTTTTTTCAAGGACAAGATTCTGAGATACACATTTGCTCCTTTCTAGCCTATGTCTGCGTTAAAAAGACTCCAGCCCACTTAAGTAAATAAAATAAGAATTAGTCCCCACATTCTTTGTGAAATTGCTTTGCAAGGGGCTCTTGCTCATTAAAAGAGTAATGCTCAAGGTTGATGTTCCCCACACCCCAGTTCCTAATTGATATAACTTAGTAAAGTCGTAATACAGGGAATTATTTAATATATTAAACTTTTCAATGATTCACCAGGTAAGACAGTAAAGAAAGATTAAAGGAACTTAGTCTAAATGACAAAAAGCATAACAAGGGGGCAAAAAAAACCCTTTTCAGCTGTAAGAGTTAGTGCACCATTTATATATTCCAAAATACAAGCATCACAGCCTCTGCAGCCTCTTCAAAATATACTGTTACAGCTCAAGAGCTATACAATACACTTGAGGGAATAGTACTATGTTCCTGACTGGCTGCAGAAATGTCTTTTCAAGGATTCACATACACGGTGACTCTCTTTGACTAACTACAAGATCCAAACGACACGTAGAGGAAATACTATCACCAGTGCTGATGAATACTGTCATGCTTTCTAAAATTTTCTGAGCCTTCAGAAACGGATGGGTCTAGCCATGAATAACAAAGTTATCTCCTCTTTAAAAAAGTTTGCGCAATGTGTTCCCGACGGGAAAAAAGAAGAATGATTCTACAGCTAGATATGCAATTTGTTCACTGTCCCACTATTCATGCTGAGCTCAAAGCTATTAAAGAATTTCAGTAAAAGCAGTTAATCTCCAACAGACAGATTGTGAGTAATTTCAGTAACTTAACATTTCTGGAAATAGAAAAATCCACAATACTTTATCCCTATACTTTCAGTTACAGCAGAAATAAGCCAGCTGTTATTATTCAATTTGAGCACTCTCCATAGAGCCGTACCTGCGTGCAGCCTTTCAGAAACAGGGCTTTGAGTCCACCACAGCCTCTCACCAGAGCCTGGATGCCATCCTTAGTCACTTGGTCGCACCAGGAGATATTCAGTTGTTCCAGCAGTGGGCATCCCTCACTTTGGAGGTGAAAGGAGAAGCGTGTGGCAACTTGGTTTTGTTTTGGAAAGAAATCCTGCTTCAAGCCAGAATCTAGGAAATTCCCATTTCTGGAACCCACGTCAGTACAGATGTACACCCACACCCCACACACCCACAGGGAACACTTTTGTCAAACAATCTCCAGGTGTGAAGAGCTCTCCAGAGGCAGTATCAGGAGCTCTAAAGCAGAGTATTAGTAGGGTAAAAGACCACTGATTTATCCCATTTTGGACACCTCCCAGTTCCTATACAAGGACAGACACTGTGGGCTTTCTGGATCTGAACATAACCAAACCACCCTCAAGGAAAGCGAAAAATAGGGTTGATTTCTGCCATGCTGCTTCAAACTTTCCAGGTGTAACTTTGCATTTGCCAGTAGGAGTAACACTCAAGTGTAATTTGTAATTAGGAAGAGATATACATGCTACCATATATTTAAGATAGCTGGAATACAAATTTGACCATGTGAAATTAGAGACAAGGATGAAGACCCTCAAGGGAAGGAAAAACCAGGCTCAAAGTATTTTAATGTAGCTACAAAAATAATTTAATCATTCATTTATTCTTTCAAATCAGTGTTTTCTTCTGGTGTCTGATTCACCCTCCAGAACTTTTTTCCCCATGATACAGCTTTCCTGTATTTTCTTTTATTCCACTGGTATATCACTTGATTATTTTTTTTTTAATAGCTTGGCCTCTATTGTTACCTTTAGTGTTTTTTTTGCCTCGTTCTCTGTCCCAATATCTTCCCACCAATGTCTGTCTGTCCCTTCCTTTTCTAGATTACTTGGCAATTCCATTTAGCAGATTTAAGCAGTTATATGTCTCCTAAGCAGTTTAAAAAGACAAATAGTCACATGCTGGTGTTCACCTTCTAGCTATGTAAACAATTGCTAAGTACACAATGGTACACTTACAGTGAAGAAGTTGACTGTTAGTAAACAAGTATTTTAAAAAGGCAAACTAAGATTTTTGTCTCCCCCAAAATGCCTCCTCCAAGACTTTAATAGAATAGAATTCTTCTTCTACTGCTAATAACCATCAGGACAGATACAAACAAGGTCGAGGGCAGCTTTTACTGAGTCCTCCTCCTCTGTCTCGGCGAACTAGGAGGCACAACATGTGAATGTTGAGCTCTGCTGGGGAATGCCTGAATTCTAGTCACAGTTACTCCTCAGCCCACGTCAGTCTCCTCCAAGGCACATGAGACACATGGGGCAATGGTGGGTCACACTATCTGGAATCAATCGGCAAAAGTCAATGTTGTTGACTCCTACCTCAGTGCTTTCAGAGACAGGTTGGTTATGGAAGTGCAGGAAGCCAAATCAAGGTGCCTGAGTTTAGAGCAGAACTTACTGAGGCTGGTACATGTACTGAAAGAGAGCATACAAGACACACTCATGCAATAGATTTATTCCGAGTCATATACATTACACATGACATACATTGTGTTATCTACCACATGCACAAGCCTGGCCTTCCCTTAAAAAATAAGGGATGGAGAATGTAACATGGTACACACAGAAAAGGGGATGACAGGGCAAACAGAGAAAAGAATTTTACTCACGCATCTGTGATCTTGGTACAGCCATTTAGGTTCAATACTTCAATATTTCTGCAGTTCTGTGCAAATGTCCTTTATTAAAGGAAAGGGAAAACACAGTATTTTCCAGGCAATAGCCTTCCAGATGTTTTACAGTGTTTGTTTTAACTGTAACATATCAGATACAATTTTACAAAATTGTCTCAAACAAAATAAAGTAGTAAATAAATAAAATAAATAATTTATGTTGCCCCGTATCTTGCCTTGGGAATTCCCAGCCTGAAGGCAAAAGCTTGTAATTCAGTGCCAATTACTACTTAGCCTATAGCAGCAGCTGGCACTATTTTAATGAGAATTGAGAAAAATGGCTACTGTGTGAAGTTAAAAAATGATAAGTTAAAAAGGCTTATATGTTACTGCTCTCGATGTTTTAAGTTAGACACACAGGCTAAAGATCTCAGTTCCAAAGTGTTCATAAATTATTCCAATCCTCTGTGGTTGTAGAAACAGAATAATTCTTAACATCACATTTAAGAGCAGAAAGAAGCCATACCACTACCTTAATGCATTGTCTCCCACGCCTTGACAGCCACGCAGGCTTAACTTCCGCAAGAAGCCCCCACATCTTTTAGAAATATTCTCAACTACGCGGCCCTGTCGGAGACAGAAAGGACTACGTTAAAATCCAAAAGTCACTTGATGATTCAAGAAGTTGAATTCAAAATTTTGCAGGTTAACAACAGTTTGTTATTCTAGGTAAAACAGTGCTAAGAAAACAAAAATGCCATGATAATAATCTAAGGCAGGGAGAGGGAGAAGTATTCAGCTTCTGAAGATGGAGAGACAAGGAACAATTACCTACAGCCACTCAGGCTAATGACTGAGGAATTTCCTCCAGTTCAGAGCTCCAGGACATCGATACAGACTACCAAGAAAGGTGAAAGAAGCAATGCCATTGCTACAACATGGGCAGTAAGATTTACAAAAAAGTACAGTCAATGTACCATAAATGGATATACTTAAATTTCTGTTCAAAATAGAGATGAAGCAGAACCAGCCCATGAGTTTTATTCTCACAGAAAAAGGGATTCAAACATTTGTGTTCAAGAGCTCTAGAAAAATGGTTTTTTAAATTTCAAATTTGTAATCAATGGAAGCTTCCAAAGACCCCAATACAAGCTAGCATTTACCCAGCTATTTCTCACTGTGAATGAAGTGCAAAAATCATTGAGAGAATATTTGTATCAGTGTCCAGAAATTCAAAAAACCTTCTCCTCTACTATAGTCTACGTGGCTGTTCATCACAGAACAGGAATATTCCTTGGTTCTTCCAAGTACTAGTTGGCATTTAAGACCTCTATAATGATGAAGATATTCTTCTATACTCTTTTTCCAGTCCAAAAGAAATATCAAGCATCAGGCTCGGTACAACGTAATACCACAATCAGAAAAGGGACACCAGCTTAACTAGATCTCTGCACGAGCTTCTGGTGACATCTGGCCGCTTGCTTTCGGGGGCTATGGGAGCAGCTCTACAGCCGCTGTGCGCTGCTGAAGCGCTGCCCTGGCTGAAGGCTGCCAGAGGACTGAAGCTCGACCTGCACGTCCGTGTAGAAGGGCCGGAGAATCTGAAACAATCCGTGTGTTTTTGCAATTCCTCTAGCAAGCCTATGAATTCACATGCTTGAACTAGAGGATTCAAACACGTTTATATAATATATGGAATTTACATCAACTGATGGATTTACATTCCTTACAGCAAACAACATTTAGGACATCAGAAAATCAAGCAGGTACTTTTAGGTTAGGTACAACATATTCAAGCATTTTGTTTTAAAAGGGGAAGTCCATGCTTATGCAAGAACATGTGTTTGATGTATAGAGTGGTGTTAGAGAACAAAGAGACATTAAAACCATGGAAAAACCACTCAAGAATGAGAAAAGCCTCGTGTATATTTGCAGCACTCCTGCCTCCCTCCCTCCTACACAGACCAACGACAGCAGCAAGGCTGAGACGCTCTGTCCACGTCTCCTGCTACCTCCATAGACCAGGCACCACTGATAACTTTGCTCTACCTCTATGAAAGTAAATAATTATATGGGTCCAGAACTTTCAAGCCATGTTAAGAGATAAAGTATTTATTTTGAAGAACAAAAATCACACCATTTACTTCCTTCAAGAAGTCTCAGGCCACTTAGACCCCTGCAAGCACACAGAAGTCACAGTATCAGAGGCCTGTTCCTTTATCGGTGCACCTCAGCTGCTTAGATACACAGCTGCCAGAAAGAGATTATTTTAACTCTTTCCTCCACAAGTAATGTGTTTATTTCCAACCAGTTCCCACAAGGTGTGAACCTTCAGTCATCATCTGGTTTACGCCTCTGTCTATAATGAGTTAAAATGATATACTCCCTATCTCCCTCCTCCAACATGTTTTGAAGAGGATATAACATTCTGGTAAGAAACTTAAGGGTGGGGTTTTTTTCTCATCCCTTTTCCTGATTAATGCAATTTTAGTTTTAAGAACAGCACAACAGCGGCATCCATTGCTATGAGTGTCAAGTAGTCCACATCTAACAGATTTAGAACAGCTACAGTGAAGCATTTCCAAAGCTGCATCTTTTCAGAACAATTTTGACCTCATTCCCCTTAATCACCTTTGCTTACATTTCAATTTTTTATATTAGACAGGAAAGGATAGACATATTGCAGGCCATGTTTCAGAAGACATTCAGTCTTAATGGTCTAAGTCAGTGCTACATTAACGTTTCTTTGAGTGAAAGGAAAAGTAGCCTAAATTCTGCTGTACAGAAGCAGTAGTTTTCCACAAGAACATACCTATTCTACTTATTTCTGTTTTCAGAACACACACAAAAATACTTTCCTTCTATTACTACCTTTAAGTCTTGATACAGATATATAATTCTGTCCATTTTCAAAAGCTGAATGGATTGCCAAGACTTTAAAGACTCCCTGAAGCTAAGAAGAACTGAAATTAATGATTTCTATCTCCAGGGAAGGTAAAAAGGGTTACACTGGGAGTATTAATCCATTCTAGGCTGTAATTACATTTTAACAAGAAAAATGGGTTTGTATGTCACTTAATTATACCTCAATATCCCTCTGGAAATCAAACAGGTCAATTCGCTGCCAGTTACTGCCATCCAGGGCCAGAACATTCCATGCCTTTATCGGGGGAAAAAATGTAAATGTGTTGTTAATATGAAAAAAAATGCCAGTGGGGACCTAGTTACAGTTTGCTCCTTTTAGAAACAACATTCTGTCTCAGATGCAAAAGCAACAAGTAATTACAGCCAACAAGGAAAACTGTGCAGTTACCAGAATCACTTGCTCGGACAAGAGTCCCCTCACCTACATGGCACACTCTTCGCAAGTCCCCAAAACAGGCAAGCCCGTGGTGCCCCGGCCACTTCTGCTCCCATGGGAGGTGTAGATGCTGAGCCCGGGACAGGAGACAGCGGTGGAATGCGGGCATCTTCACAGTCCTGGCTGGAATCTAATCCCCTCTGCAGCATCGCCAGCTAAAACAATGCCTTAAGGGGATGCTAGCAGGACCAACACGAAGATGAAGGATACCAGGACACGGGCGAGTCTCAAAGGTGACCCTACAACTGGCATCTACACTGACAAGAGAAGCGAAGCTAGTCTGAGGGCGTGAGGACTCGGTGGTGCTGGGATGGAGGACTAGGCGGTGAGATCCCGTAAGCGATGGACGAGGCTGTCATCTTGCACACCTTCTCTCTTGCCTCCAGCAGAAAGAGGTGTTCAAGGCAGTTCCACAGCTAGGTGCATGAGGTGCTGCGTCCCACAGATGGAGAAATTCAAAGCTTTATAAGCTTGTCCAGATAAAGCATCCAGCTCTTACCTGAGAACTACGCACCACTGCCAGGGTGACAGTGTTTACTACCTCGGACTTATGCGTTTGGTTTGTTTTTTTTTTAAACAAACAAACAAACCTCATAGGGTTCATGCTACAAATGAGAACCAGGAACTGAAAGTTAATAATTCTGCCCTTAATGAATCAAAAAGGTTGTCAACACAGTACTATACTTAAAGTTTTAATTATATAATCAAAGTAAACGACTAGATCTCTTAATAACCATGAGTCCATCATTATGAAAGAGTGCACATATATAGGCACATTTTAAACTACATCTCCATCACAATATACTAGTTCTTGTGCAAGCCACGTATAGACTTAGAACAGCCGACAGAACTGTAAGTATTAATTGATTTTCTGCATTTTAAGTCTTATTGCTGATATTTGTTTTGAGATCTAGTTATTGCCATGAGAAAAGTAAGAGCTCCAGTGGAAAAGAAACGCATCAGGGGATGCAAGTTATAACACAGCATATTTTAATGTGTGATGTAGGGAACATTACACACAGCCTCTCTGTAGCTCTGTGCAGATACTTTAGTCCTTTACAATATGTTCTCTGATGCCCTGTGAACTGTGTAAGCAGCAACAAGTGACAAAAAATGGGATTACACCTTGACATTGGGAAGTATCTTTGACAGCCCATTTTGGTCAATATTGTTCTGCTGGAACAGTGAATTTCAGCTGGAAGATCTTTCACTAGAAGACCTGTGTTACTCAGAGAACATGGGATGATAACCGTAATACCTAGGCATCACATAGGATATTTTTAAATGCAATTAAAAATGTTTAAGCATAGTCTTTTTTTATTCTTAGGTACTCTGAATAATGAAACAAGTTCTGGTTCAAGTTTGAACCCAAGATTGATCAGTTTTGTACATGCGTCACTCAGCACCAGCTCTGCCAGTACAGTGAACACACCACTATAAACACCTTCCCCTGTAACCAACTTTCCACTTTTGCTGTGGTGATGCTTCCTCTGTGTGTCTTATTAGATACTGGCAGGATAAAGTATCTGAACAAATCTGGTAGCTCTAGATAACTGGACCTGCAGTCAGAGGAATCTTCCCAAGCGAATAATGCAAGATGGATTTAATTAGCTGAAGCTCACACAACTATGAGCTACTTCAGGAAAAAAACAACCCTAAACAAAACAGGACACTCATTTTTCTTCCATGCTTACTTCAAATATATCCAAGTAGGAAAGTAAACCTTCATTGACCATGCAGCATCTTTATGAATCAAAATTTCTATATCTCCACCAAAAAACACAAGATGCCATTTTAGACTCATCCAAGTTTGGTATTTTCATCAGTGCAGGGCTCCTGTACAAACCCAGGCTGACTGGAGAGTTCTTGGGGAAAAAGTCAGCCACCTCCCCTTTGTAACCTGCTCAGGGCTTGGGATACCAGCAAAATGGTATTCAAGTTTTAAGTCCCCCTTCACTGGTGCCATCAGAAGTTTCTGGTATTGCAGCATTAATACGGTACACTAAATAACAATAGTTGAGTTGCACAAAGCCCCCTGGTACAAATCCTCCCAGTTTGACATGCTAGGGAAGGCTGGAGGGAGAGGACTATGACCCAAATCCAAATCAACTGTTAAAATCCACCAGCAAGGAAGAAGGTTCTTACCCTGGAAACTTGAGCACAACGACACAGAGTGACCACATCCAGGAAAGAGAAAATTCTGTAACAGAAATAAAAGATACTTTGTTTTAAATGTAGATAACCAATAAAGAGAACATGGAAAACAAAGGAAAAAAAAAAAAGACTGGAGACAGCAAAACTTCTTTGTAATTCAGTTGAAAGCTGAACTGTGAAAAGAAGCGCAGACCTAGCAGTTAACAAACGAAAGCAAAACACAGATACTGAGCCACTATGAAATATTAATCTCACACCTTGTAGTATTTACTGACAGTAAACTGAATGATTATTTATCAAAACAGATGCTTACAGGTATCGTGTAGCTTAACAGTCAAACATTCAGTTAAGTCAGGATATGGCAAAACAGTCACGCTGGGCTGTTTTGGCTCCTGTTCGACACAGGAGCATCGCTGTGCCCAGTGCCTCTCTGTTCAATAAAAACATCATCTTTAGCAACAGCTCTCCAAAAGTAGAAGTGTAATAATTAGCAGTTAATAGACCAAAGCAACACAACAGCCTGATTTTGGTGCATGGATTATGTCTTCTTTTTCACACAGCTGTGCTAAATATGAAGTGTTGTTAACACAGAGGTAGGAGGAGTATTTTGCTCTGTAACACTGCAAAGCAACTTGCACAGCCAGATGATTTGTTCAGTTGTGTCAGTACAGTGTCTAGGAGAGACACATTTAGGATTAAGCTGATGCGGTCACTCCTCTGTGGTATGTCATTCCTCTGCCAGGGCACACCCAAGTCTTCAGGCCAACACCCTGGTGTTGCTGTCCTATTTACTGGGATAAAGGAATTAGACAGTAATACTTTGCAATGCTATACTGGGCTAAGACATCCATGCTTTTATCTTGGGCATATACATCCCTATCTGTGAATAAAGGAAGTACCAAGCCCATTTAAAGCTCCCAAATCCGTACCAATATATCAATATGGTTATTTTATGGTTTATAGGTATTCAAACAACCATATGCCACAAAACAGAGGTCGTCAAGTGGACAGCAGAAAGACAGTAAGGTCTCGTTCTCTTTGATAGCAATTATAAAACCATAGGATGAAATGTTTTTGCAAAGGTAATACAAGTGTTCGACTACAAGAAAACACTTGCACATATGTTTTAATATTTTAAACTTGCACCAGAAAGAGAAGGCAAATGTTATCAGATGCAAGTGTTAAAGGTATGGGGCAAGCAATTTTGTTCCAATGCTGCACACTATTTTATAAAATACTCTTGTCAGATAAAGTATGGCTGTCCAGGAGAAATTCTGAGAACAAACAAAACTCCACTGCTCCAGAAATCTCCAGACTTTCTCAAGAGAGAACAGTGTACACCCAGATTAACAATCATTTGGATACTTGCAACACTTGAGTCATCTCTCCACAATACTGCAGGCTTGGGGGGCATATGTAAGCTTTTCTATATTCTCAGCAGACCTGCCTGTGCTGGAAGAGACTCAGAAATGAGAAGATGTTGCTGGCAACGTGTTCTTTTTGTGTGACTTACAAACTTAACAAACACCCTGTACCAACATGTTACTGAAACTCTCATATAAAAACAAGAAAGCTGTATGATGTACTCATCTCCCCAGATAAGTACAAGGGACACATTTCAATAAATAGCACAGATGCTGATAAAGCTGGATGAAAAGGTGTTGAGAACAATGAACAAACATCATGTGCATCACTGATAAACTATGAGGGGTTATCCAGGCTTTTGCTACTGACACCAAGTTTTGTATGCACGTTAATGCGTGCCACACACCTTCACAGACCCCCACATATTTGTATATAGCTATATACCCATAGCAAATCATGGATTTTCAAATTTTAGGAGAGGACACAAGCAAGGCTCAGATGATACAATATGATACAACAATCGCATGATCAAGCTTTCTGGAACAACAGGTTTATAAAAAGCACTTTAGAAACCTCAATGTTGGTGGAAAAGGACGTTACTGACAGGATGAATGCAGACTATTATGAAAACACAGATGCTTACAGGTATCATGTAGCTTAACAGTCAAAGGTTCAGTTAAGTCAGGATATGGCAGAATAAACAGCCACATGCTCTTCTGTGTTTCTATACTGCCCAAAGATACTCACAGATTCAAGGAGTTTGGTTCAAGATACTTCTCATCTGTTCCTTATGCATCTCATCATGAGACAAAATTTGCAGTGACATGCTGAGACATACACAGTTAGAAGGGCTGGAAAAGAGCTAACATGCACTTTACTGTTACACTGTTTTGGGAACCCATTTCTGGATTTCAGTAGCATTTCCATTCTCACTGCTTATAGACAAGTCTTCCCCTTGAATTAAATGTCATTTATTCATGCATGTATGTGAGCACTGAGGATTTATTTAGCACAATGTCAATGTACAACAATACAAGGAAAGCCTGAGGAAATGATAGAAGCTAGGGAAAATTCTTCCTTTTACCCTAGATTCCCATTGTAGGAGCAAAAAAATATCAACCTCCATGGGAACAGTGGTTAGGTCAAGCTTTCTATATTTTCATTAAAATTGCTTTCTCCATGGAAATCCCAGGCTATTAATAACCATCTCATCCCTCTATCAGGGCTATTAGGTCTTGGCCAAATTCTTTTCTACTTCCTGCTCCTCCCTTCCCAGTCTACCCACACAGTAAAAGGGGATGTCAACGCAGCAAAACACTTGCCCCTCTCACCTCTGAGGTTAACATTGCTGAGCTTTGCCAGGAGTTCCCATGTCTAACTCAGAGACTTTGGCCCTGAAAAGCTTAAGAGCATTTTTCAGTGTTTTCCGAGCTGCTCTTGCATTTGTTCAAGAATATTGGCCAATGACTCAGCAGAATCAGACTGCAAAAATTACTCTCAGCAGCAATCACTACTCTGTTGCACATTTTGGTCATTTCAGAATTGGCTCAAACTACAACCCTTCACATGAACTGGAGAGATCAGCAGGAACACAGTTAAAGTCTTGCAGGCACAATGACCCAAGCTAAGTTTTCTAATGCAGCCCTGAGGATGGGTTTTTTCTTCTCCAAGGAGCTGCTGGGGAACATTAAAAAAGAAAAAACAAACAAACCCAAAAACCCACAAACAAGCTGCCCATGTGGCTAAGCCATGATTGAGCAGTCATCATCTTCCCACAGGAGTACAGCATGGGTCATAAATGCTGGGTCTCTTTTCAGCAATCTGCACACTATAAAATAAAGCAAAGGTAATCTATATGTTCACTTGAAATAATACGCATTCTTGCTGTTACCCTATGGCTCAATTAAAATTGGACTTGACAACGAGGAAACATACTGGGCTGACAGGAAATTTGGATGCAACTTAGCTACTCAGCTCCAGACCCTCTCTCAGTAATAGAGGGACAATTCCTCCTGGAATTGTTCCAAAGCACCAAACCCTTAGAAAATACCTGCTGCCCCAGTCAGATTCCGTTTATCTGGTGGAAGAGAGCAGAGAAGAGTAAGTAGCAGCAGGTTGAACAGTACTACTTGAATAATGGTTTTCCCAATTCTGCCTTAATAGATCAAAAGGCACATAACTGGGATGTTTATTCTCACATCCAACACAGATGATTTCTGTGTTGCTCACAGTTGACTGCTGTACTCTTACATTGGTCTTTTTACTCTTCAGAGTTGACAGTAAGAATATAAGCCACACCAATAACTTTATCATCAAACAGTGATCATAGGTGAAGGCAGACTGAGTATTCCAAACGGAATTAAAACAAGTCTGGTATTGCGGCAGATTGAATTGTTTCACTGCAAAGTAACTCCCTATATTCAGGACTTCGCCTGAACAGTTTGGCACTGGACAATTTAGCAAAAACACATTGCAGTTAGAGCATTTTTCAGGTTTCAACCTCTTAATCCACTCAGGGTTTTCTAAGACTCCTCACTTTCCCACTGCCACTCTAATTAGATTAGGGTCAAGACTCTAATGAAATCCCTGGATGCTCTGGGCTTTGAGGTGAGCTAGCTTAGACCTTTAGCCTTCTAAAATTATCAACACCAATTTATGTCAGTGACTCACTACTCAAGTTAAATTTTGCTCTGTACTCATTTTATGCCGATGGGCTGGCCAGGAGGAGAGAAACGACAACTTTGCTGCCAACTCACTGGTCCCCCACGCACTCTGTCGCTTCCTTGTCCCAAGCAGAACTCAAGATCCCAAGGAATACACCAACACGGGGCTTGAAGGTCAGATGGCAAAGCCAGTGCTGGTGACTGGATGTGCTGAAAATGGGCAAGCAGGCAACAGGAGGTGGCACGGAGTAAAAGCTGCTTACACCAGGAGAGAATTGAAAACTGCTTGACCTGCCCATGAACCAATAAGGAAAAGACAAACTCCCGCAGCCCAGGCCCCTTCACCCTGCCAAGCATAAGCTGTTTAGCAGCCCCATGTCATGCTGAGAGTAAACCTTCTTCAGGAAACCAGCAGAGACCACCACTGCCACAGAAAATCCAGGCTTGTGGTTGGGGCTTGGCTTGCGGACAAAAAGCAACTGGCAAGCAGCCCTCAAAGAATGAATGCACCTTTTCAACAGGGCATCATTAATGCCAGCACAGGGAAACAGGGACATGATGCTTCTTCTGGGGAAATGACTACAGCCAGAGCCGACATGGACCACAAATTCACTGTTCAGAGTCACCGAGCCAGATGCTGCCCAAAGAGCTGCTGGGAGCAGCAAAGGAAGGAGGATGGTGAACGGAATTCTGCTTTTTGCTGGTTTGGCTCATTTTTAACTGTGAAAAGGTATATTCACGTATAAAGATGTAAGCTCCTAGAAACTCAGCTGGCAGGAGACAAAGCTGAAGCACGTACGGCAGTATCGGGACAAGGATTTGTGAGCCATCAGCTGATCTCTACCCACGTGCTGCAGGACAGCTTTGTTTTAGAGTCCTGCTCTCAGGGAAATGCCAGACAAACATCACCATTACCAGCATCATGGTAGGGCAGAACGACAGGACACCTGAATCAGACACGTTTAAAAGAGAGATTTCTGAGGACAACCCTCCAGAGCACTTTACACCTCCACCCCATCCTCCCAGACAAAAGCATTACTGGAGTTGCACATTTCTGTATCTTGGGGTGTGACAAAGGCTGCTGTTCACCCCTTTTATATCCTCCTACTCTTTATTTTGCTCAAGTACAGCTTTCCACTTTGCAACCACATACATGAGACATCCAATGCCATCTGCAGAATGAACAAACCAGAGAACAAGACATTACACAGTAGCACTGCTTAAACACACAAGTCTTTGTCTTGCAGACAGTGACACTCATTTACGGGAGATTCCTGCAGATAAATGCATCCAAGTTTCTCTTTCAAAGGCTGCACTGTCAATCCACACTAATTAATTTTCACAGTATGCTAACAGTGAATTCCAACTCTCAAAACCATTACTTATGAACTTTAACATTTATAAACTCAGTCTCCTGATTTCTCCTAGGTTCCACACAATCCTGAACACTTGCTCTGTTCTACAGCAGGTTAGGATGATTAGTGATATCAAGACACAAAAAGACAAAACACTTCTGCAGGGCAGAAGCATGCGTACTGCTGAGAAATCAGCCACTGTGGCTTGTACTGACAAAATTCCCTGCTTGGTGCAGGACCCTCCCTCCTACTTACCACAAATCCTTCTCCAATTGTCTGGTAGTGCTCCCCAACACCAGCTACCTCCTACGGACCAAGATGTGCTTATTGGTCCCACTCAGGATCATTCCACTTTGACCAATCTACCAGAAAGCTCATCCATGCTCTAATCAAGGTCCTGCTCCTTGGGAGCCCAGTGACCACACACCTCTTCCCCTGAAGTCCATGCAAAATGTCAATTAAATTCCACCCCCTGACCTTTTTTCTCTACCAAATTCCCTGCTTTCCCTATGCCACACAAACTCCTTGCCTCACATGTCAGTGGCTCTTCACAATCTGTCCCCAGCCTACCTGTGTCTTGTCACCTTACCACAAGGGCAAATCCTATTTTTGTTGCATCTGCAATAGCAGCACCTACTTGCTCCCATCAGAAAAAGAATCCCCCTCTCAGAAAATCCAGAGAGACGTTTTTCTCAAGTCTTCAAATTCCCCTTTTGCTGCAACACATCCATGCCAATGGTTCAGGGCAAGTGCTGGGTGAAGACAACTGCTGTCATCTGCAAAAAACCTGTGCTAACTCATCTGGACTAGGGCATCCTATCGTGTTTGTTACTCCATCCTGCTCTTCCCGCAGATTTCTTCTCTCTTCCACATACCAGATGCTGATTTTTACACAGCAATCTCTGTACAGCATGGACAATCATTTGCCTGTATACTAGGCTGAAAAATCAAATACCCACATTATTAGCAAGAAGGGCTCTAAAAGCCATACATCTTGCTTTTGGATGACTAATACTGGCCTAAAAGAAACCGCATCAGATTACAGAGAACAGAGGAAACAGTGCAGTCGAAAGAAAAAAAAAGTGTCAGACTTTTTTTTCCCCTATTCATTTTATTCCACAAGTGAGCTAGAAGCAGTTTCCTGTGTCAGAGCTCCTCTCCCCGGACTTTTTATTGCCATTGAGTGTTGACAGTACTACACAGTTTTTTGCAGCGTAAGAATTTTGTTTGTGTTAATAATTCAAGCTGCCACCTGCAATTGCCTTCACCATTTACAGTCTAGCATCTCAGCTTAAAGCACTGACGAACACGACTTTACTTCAAGATGCCAAACTGTGACAACTGAGGTACAATCACACACACACACATCATCACACTACTCTTGCACAGGGGAAGGCAAATTTCAAAAGGTACATACGTGTGTGCATACGGAAGGGCAGCAGAGGGAGAGGGCAGAGTTGTCTACCAAGATCCACAAAGCCTGATCTGTTTGATCTTTGCCAACAGGACCATCCTGCCAGGTGCTGAACATCTGTCTCATTGATGAGGAACAGGACAAAGTCCACTCAAGTGTCCATGGAGCAGAGGAACTAACTTTTTTTTAAATTGAACATTTTAGAGAGAGGCAAAATCCTATTCTACACATTAGCCCATACTTACCATTTATTTTCATTAAGGACTTGTTTAGTCCTATAGTTCTTCCATCTACAAAACAGGCAACCAGCAAATTAATTTAGCATTTTAGAAAACAAAACCTAATAATATTTAGCATAAACTGCTGCAGATGCAGACCTTTGATCTGCTTCTGTTTGTCTATGGCTTTATAAGTGACCCAATCCAAGCTCATGATTTATGAGCATACCAGCAAAATCAGTACTGGCTGCAAATAACAATACACAACACAGCCTCCAAGCTTACAAAGTGAAAGATGGCTTACCGAAGCAGCAGCTCTTTTGGAAGTTTTTTGTTGATCACAGCTTCATCATTGTTTGAGAACATCTGTAAACAAAAACAATTTAAACAATTTAGCCATATATTTTCATTAAGCAAACAAAACCTACTTTACTCTAGGGAAGAAGCTGCTGGTTAACGAGGCCATTTCGAGAGAGACATCTGGCCCAATAAATTCTCAAAAGAAACTTTGCGCTCAAGCTTTCAAACTCCTGGACTGGACCACAGTTGGATAGAATATTGCATCCAATATAGTTTAAAAAATGGTCCAAGAATGCTCTGTAGATTGATGTATTAAATATAAACTGAGATTTTTAATTTATCTATTAACATAAATGATAATTAGGGCATACTTGTTGGCTAGCACTGACTATAGGAAGGTATCACCTACAGCATTACTACAGGCTTCCATCTGTGTCACAGTTCTGTGAAGGTACACCAAAGCACTGGCACTTTAAAACCGTAAAGTCTAACTACGCACCAAACAAGCATATGGCAAATGGGTTGGAGGGAAGGGCTATGACAAGGGTGATCAAGCAGCCCTAACATCCAACAAAGGGAGGCTGAAGATGCAGGCATAGCAGGACTGGTTTCCGTAACAGAAAAGGGAGCAGACTGCTGGTGAACAGGAGCCTAACGAAAAAGTATTACAGTGCCCATATCATTCTCGCAGCATATTGTTTGAGAGCAGCCCTTAGGAGCTTAGGGGCAGACAGTGGTTTTTTTTAATCATGAAGCATGGTTGAAAGGGAGACGTGATCTTTGGTGCTGCATCAGGAGGAGAGATGATTCTGAGAAAACACTGTGTTCTTCCAAGGCAACAAAGCCAGAGCTGTTTATTGTACCCCATAAGCTTTTTCATGCAAAGCATTATTATAGTGGCCAGCAATTTACAAATCTGAAATGGACTTTTGGACCAGCTAAAATAATCTCACTAGCTGTGAAAGAATTGAGAGAAACTTCTTTTTTCAAATAAGTCCTAAGAAAAACAGACAGCAAAGCCTCATGTGTTTCTTAAGAAGTCTCTACATATATTTAAAAGACTTGGTATTGTCTTGCCATGGTGAAAAAACAACCAACCAACAACCTCCACACACTCATGCCTGTGGGAGGAATGATTAGAGTGATCTGTGAACTAAGACTGCAGAGCAGTGATGCCTCATTCCATTTAGAAGCATGCTTTCAACATTTCCAAAAGGAAAGCAGGGAACAATAAGAATGAGCTTTAATTTCATTAATAAAGTTTCTCTTTAACCTCTGAAATAACTAAGAGCTGATCTTCCTGAGCTACACACCTGGTAAAAACTGCTGCTGAAACTACAGCCTGAAAAAAGCTGATTCTAATCGGTTGCTTAAGTGGTCTGAATCAATTTAGTTGTATATATGCAAAGCAAATAAAACCAGCATCAGCTAGGTCACTCAAGTGGCAGAGGATCAGATTAAGAGTTAAAAAAGGAAAGTAAGATCTTAGTGGCTTATGAAGCTGTATGCTAGGCCTCACTGACAGGCACCAGCTTCTCCAAGCAGCAAATATTCTGTACCTGAGCATCAATCCAACCCCATCGCCTATCAAAGAAACCATCGTAGCTTAATGTGAAAAGCCAACGTGCTGCTGCTAAGCAGCTTTTTAATACGCTCCAATCAGTGATAACAAACTGACAACAGAATAATGCCATCATTGCAAGAGAACACTAAAACCAATGCTTTTAGAGTCAAACTTAAAAGCTGTGTTTCTAAATCACAGTTTGCTTTTTAATTATCTCAAGATACTGAAGCACGATGCTCAAGTGGGACACAAACTCTCCAGCATTCTTTCCCAAAATGTCACACAGAAGAAAAGTGTTGTTTTCCCCCCACAGACGCTTTTATCACTTCCCACCAGAAGATATCACAAGTTAGCAAGTCCTAAATGGTCCACTAGACACACAACTACTCAGCCCATTTTGCAGATAATTAAAATGGAAGTTTTGCCATTTCCCCAGCTAACACAAATTCTGTGAAGTCTGTTCCCTCAGAGACTAGGGCAGAAGAGCATCTCCTCAAGTCAAGAACTGTGTTCAGACTCAGTCACGAATGCTATCTGACGCCTGGCAGATAACTGCGGAGTGCCACAGCGGGTCAGGACAGACATTGCTGAGGTTGTGAAAGGAGCTAACACATGTGCGCATTCTGGGACTGGATCATCTAATTAGATGGCTTAGCTGATCAGCTGGGAAATTAAGGAAATTCTGGAGAAAGCTCTAATGAAGGAGAAATGCAGAGGAATTATTCATGGGAAAATGAGACCATGATTTTTCTTCCCCCAGTTACAAGACCAATAGTAAACAGGCAGATCTATCCTCTTTCCCGTTATTGTCCAGGCCAGAATTTTACATCTGAACCAGCAGCCTCCACTTCCCTCACAAAAAAGGGTGAGAGAAATTAAAGGAGCAAATCAGGCAGCAGTAGGAGACTTCCGAAAAGGAACCAGACTAGAAGAGAACAGGCAAGGGGCAGGAAGTATTAAAATAGAGATTCCAGAAGCAGACAGCCAGCCTTTTCTGTCTCATCTGTATTGGCAACAAAGCTTTGTCTGAATTCAAATTTTACTGTGAGAATGCAGGCAATAGTCACTGCCGGTTGTTAACTGAGATTGTACATCAAGGACACTCATAAACAGCTTTGTGCAAAATGCAGGTAACTTCTTGACTTCTGCCCATTACATTGCTCAGTAGAAGCTTACCTTGAATCCAGTGCATATCAAAGCCTTAAACTGTTTTTCTGCAGAAGCTACCCTTTGACCAGTACTATACTACAGGAACATTTGGTTTTTGTCTTACTAAAAAAGTCCTTGGACTTAAATGTGACAGGGTCAACGTAGGATGTGCTCTGAGGGAGAACCTTGGCTCTGGAATTCCCCCTCCACTGGAGGGCTGTGAAGTGCCAGTGTACATCACCAGACCTATTTTCTCAAGACTTCCTTCAAAACTTGGTGCTCAGATGACAGAAGCTGGGTGAAAACAGGCTGGAATTGGGATATGTTGCTAGTCATGGCAGCATGTATAGCTAGTTAAATATACCAACGGACATTTTGACTTTCTGGCAAGTCCGCGCAAGAATAAACCTAGTCTGAAAAAGTGTTAGAGGCTATTCTAGACTTCCAGACTTTTGAAATTACTTCTAGGGATAAAAACTAAAGTACCTAAGTTTGCTTTTCCTAACATCTCTTTTAACATCCTTCAATACCAGGCGTTATGCAGCAGAGTAAGTTATTCTTGACAGGGTACAGAAAAACATATCTTTCTTGTATGTAAATTTTGCAGTCTGTATAAAACACAGAATCTTCCTCAAAGCATCAAGTTTGCTGCTGCGTGAAGCCACATCCCATACACAGAAGAAATGGAAGGGCGAAGACGATGAAATTCCTCTTACTCTTCCACCTGTTGAGACGAAGGCAGACCAGCAGTGCACTACTCTCTTCTGAAACAGCTTTTTCTAGCTACAACACGAGCAATAAATCTAGAACAAACACCATGGAAGCAGATACTAGACTTAAACTTGTATTAAATTAGTATAGGTTGCTATAATCTGCTACAAGGTGAAGGAAAATGTGTCCTGCCAAAACACCAGAACTGGACAAAGTTTATAATGGAATGCTGCATTTCCTAGTCGTTTTACTATAAATCTCTTACTGCCCTTCAGAGCAACATCTACAGATAGTGGAAGTGATGGCTTTGCTGCCCTGGGCAGCTGGAGCTATGCAGTGCCAGAGCACGCACAGGATTTGGTCATTGCTCAGTTATAAGATGATTTAATTTTCCTGCAAACATTGCACTGCCCAGCTCTTCTACCAAAGCTAGAAAATGGGCAGAACCTGCAGAGTTTTCCAGGGCATATGTCTGCTAGCAGTTTTATACTTCACACAGAAAGGCATTTTACAATCCATGAGATATTTTGCATATACACACTTCAACAGCACTGCCATGGAAATACTGTCCCTATTCCAACAGGGGCTCAAAAGGGAGAATAAACAGGATCCATCTAATTGCAACGCCAGCGGTCAGTAACCAACTTTGCAAGCCCAAAGAAATGACAAAACTGGGGGCTTAATCCATAAATCAATCCTTTATCTCACAAACCAATTAAAATGTTAATACACCATTTACTATTCAATAAAAGGAGAATTGTAACTACTTGGCTCCCAGTTTAGAGTAGTCCAGTGCATTCAGCATTTGACAGGTGCACCCAGAGGGGCCTGTTTTGCCATGGTTTTTTTAAGAGTAGATGGCCCAAGAAGCTAGCAGCTAAAACAAGGATCATCCAACCTTCAGTCATCCACAGGAACTCACTAGTTGTCCCCTGAATTCAAGCACTCTTTCCTGCACTCTCCCACACTAACTGAAAGCCTGGAGATTACAACCCAACAGACTGAAAACTCGTACTTCCCAGGGCGCATTTATGGGCACTGCTGTGCTGCCCTCCAGAGCACTGTCACCCAGAAGCATTCAAATCAAGCAAATTTATGAAAACAAATGGACAAAAGCGATAAAAGATACAGTTCTTGCAGCCTTATACTGAAGTCACTTAGCGCAACATGTAATTGTCCATTTGTTTCAATAACTCTTCCCTTGCCTTTCAGAATATTAAAAGTTTTGCAAACTGGTTCAATTCATCTGGTTGCCCAGTCCCACAGCAGTCTGCAAGTGCTCTGTGCAGGGCTAATAAACAGATTTATCTGCTGTGAGGCACTGCTAACAGTGTAGAAGACAGAGTTGCTATTCAGGCATTGGTCGTGTCAGCCATTCATTACAGGGCACAGCAATCCAAACTGGGTCATCTGTATGACATCAACACAGGATCCAGATGACAGCACTTCGTAGCTCAGTGTGCAATGGATGACAGCGTATAATTATGAGTGTCCCTGCACAAGAAACACCTACTATGTACTGTACTCATCACACATGCAAAGAGGGACATGAACAACAGCTGATGCAAGCTCTGTAAGTGAAGCAACTCTTAGCAGGCATGCATGATTTGAGTTAAAATACAAAGTAGAGCATTGTGTCATT